TGCTCTGGAACAGGGGGCGTGAGCGCGTCCTCAAGACGCGACCATGTTATGCTGGCTGCACCGTCTACGTGGAGCTGTAACGTTCGATTCTGCAAGTGCCACGTTCGAGTACAAGCATATCTCAGCATCTGTAGATGCGCGATAACGAGACATCTAAGAAAAAAAGAAAAAGAAAAACGCAGCTTGCGGCCAGCGTCCCATTAAACGTTCTTTTAGCTTTATTATTTGTATTGCTTTCTTTCATAGCTTCCGCGAGCACGTGTGTTTCACTTAACGAGGAAGAGGTTTCACTTTACGTGGTAGTAGAGTGCCTCAATGTCTCTTTGTTTAGGGTGATGCCATCGTTTGTAGTACCCTAGAGCCACTAAATAAGCTGCGCTTAGAGTATCGGCACTCCGTTCCCCGACATTGTTGTGGGCGCCGCCATTTTGGCTCGTATGCAGAACAGACGCAACGGCCGATCGTCATGATTCAAAAGTGCGACTTCCTCAGCATTAGATTCGGTGTTAGGAATGTCATGTAATATTGCTTTGCTCTGTCGCGAACGGTTTAAACATTTGTGGAGGGCGGAAAAGCATTTCCTGTGATTTCAGATAAAGCTTCAGATAACTGGCAACCATGATTTTAAGACACAATATGGCCAAGTGCCGTTACTCTGAAGCGTAGCCTATTTAGTGGCACTATAGTACCCGATGCCGACAGCACGCGCTCACAGGGAAAATACAAAAAAGTTGCAGGAAACAAAATCTCGCTGTAGCACAATCAGCGCCACGAGAGCGTGCAGGGACTCGCTCTTTCACGCGCTTCAGAACAAAAACTAAAAATAAGCGTTCGAAACAAAATGGCCAGATGTCATGACCCCAAGCAAAGCGCACATTAAGGCACCTTACGTGGTAGCGAAGCCGAAGCTTGCAAGAGCACGTTCCTCTGAACGATGCTTGCACTGCACATGAGCGCGCGTGCTTGACTGACACACTGAAGGCATGGAGCTCGCTCTTGTAGCCTCTGCTACGATGGCACGTATAATGTAACGGAGTACGAAAAAACTGTAGTGTGGAAGCGTAATGACGAACGTTCGAAACGCGAGCCAAAAATATTATATTTCCTTGTTTGGAACGCATCTCAAAACTTGAGATCTACGGGCCTATGCTGTAAAAAGCCTAGTCGGTAGCGTGTCTGCCTGGCAACCGAAGGATTGTGGATTCGAATCCCGCCTCCGCCTAACTTCTTCGACTTTTTTTTTAACTTACCAGAACCAAATTTGCGGCTCGAAATTAGTTTCCTTTCTGCCCGAAAGGAGGCGATCGAGGACTGGCTGGTTTGAGTCACGCTCACTCTCTTTTCCGTGGTCACGTGCCGTTTCTTATAGTTTAGACACAACCACCAAAAATAGTCAAATTCATGGGTCATCGAAGGCACACAATCAATACTAAAAATAGACAAAAACATCATACCCATTATTTGTGACTTCTAAAAAACTACAAATATTTTGATTGAAAAAAATAAATTGCACAGCCACGGGATTTGCGGTAACTTTCTCCTCCTCTATATTTCTTGTTCGTCCCCAGTCGAGTTTCGGTCTCGGTTTCGTGCAGTTGCGTTTCTTGTTTTTTTGTTTTTTTTTAACTTTATTAACATCATACGTGGCGCTGTAGTAACATATTGATTTGTTAGTCTTCTGACAGTATAATAAATCGCCTGGCAAAAAATTAAAAAAAAAGAAGTTTTGCGGGCTGTCAGTGTTCCTCTAAGGCAAATGATTACTTTATAAAGTGAAATCATTTCGCACATGCAGCGACCTTTCATTCGCCTTATATGTCATGTTTTAATCACTTGATTAAAACTTCGATAGAAGAACCCACAAAGCCCCGTTACACATGAGCGTTGCGGGATGTTTGAAATTCCCGCGCGAGATCATGCGGCTGTGACGTCATGACAGTACTGAAATATCAGGATTTTCCCGTCCGCCACCCACGGGCGGCGGACGCCAAATGGACCTTCTGCGCGTACACGATTGGTTCACACTTTTCCCTCTGTTCTCTTTTTACAACGCCTACACACACGGGAAATGTAAGGACTGGTAGGGAGGAAAAGAGAAGGGTGGCGAAAAGGATTTTCTCACTGGTTCAGAAATATTTGGCAGATCGGTCTTTAAAGGCCCGTTCACCAACTTGCGTTTGACTACGACCGAGTGGAACAAGACCGCTCTTTAAGCCTGTTGAGAAAGCTATAAGACCTGCTCCGCCGCAACGCATCCGGTCGTAAGAGACTCAAAAACCGGTGTTGTCTCTCTCGGTTTTAAGCGCCGTTCACACTCTTGCAACCGAGTAAGACCGAGAGAGACAAGACCGGTATTTAAGCCTTTTGCTACGGCTTAGGTCCAGCTCCGCAGCAGCGCATCTGGTCTTACGCCGTCGCAAGAGGCTCAAAAACCGGTCCTGTCTCTCTCGGTCGTACTCAGTTGCACGTGTACGAACGGGCCTTTACTAGGTTGCAAGTGTTGTCTCTCTCCGTCCTACTCGGTTGCAAGCGTATGAACGGCGCTCTAAGCTACCGCTTGAAAACTGGCGCCTCGAAAGGGTACAGACGGCAGCAAAAGCTTGCGGGGCACGCACAAGACCGCCAGCCGAAAAGACTGGCTGCCCTTTATGATGGCGCATTGCTGCTCTCAAGACTAGCGCTTTGTGCATGCGCTTCCTTTCGTGTTTACAGTCATATTTTTTTCGCTCGCTTCCGTCCGACGCAGACAGGATAGCAGGGACTGGCGCAAGGTGCCTCGAAAATGTTATTTGTTGCACGTGAGCTCCGTCACCTATCACGGTGGCTGAGGCGGACGGACGGCATGACGGCTGACAGGGCGGCACCTTGCGCCGGTCCTGGTTACCTCGTGCGTATCGAATGGAAGCGAGTTAAAAATACTGTCAGCACAAAGAAAAGCTTATCCTCGAAGTGTCAATCATGAGAGTGGCCGCGCGCCGTTAGGAGGCGCAACGTAGTCATTTCGGCTAAAGCTTTAATTTCGGCTGATGCTCCCGCGCCCCGCAAACTTTTGCTGCCGACCAACGTATGAGATACACTCTTTAGGTGGGGAAACGGCGGGGCTGAACGCGCGGCGCGAGGAATCAGATAGTGTTCGTTCGACGGGCATCCGAAAGGCTGCATCATTCCGCTGCCACCGTGCCCGACGTGCCCGCGGCTGACAGTGTCGCCGGTGGCCAAACGGCGAAACTGTGAGAGAGCGGAAAAAATTATCTCGTTGCCATGACCCCGGTACACCGTGGTCTTTCTGCACGTGCGACAACCTTGCCGGAGCTCTGCGCATGTGGAGCATGAGGCGGCACGAGCCTTCTTGTGCACAGCTGCCTGCCTCCTGTGTCTTACATAGTGCCCACCAGAGCTCTGGTGCCCACGGGTCGTCGAGTCATCTGCCGGCGCCGCTTGAAACCATAGTGAAAGAAAGAGAGTGAAAAGCGAACTCTATCGGCAAGTCGCGAAGAGCTCGCTGTCCTCACCTGAGGAGTATTATCTTACACCGTGCTGCCGACTTAAATGAAGTAAGCGATCGAGCGAGTGCAGGATTAGAGTAGGCGAATCAAATTCCATAAAGAACGGCAGAATGAAAAAGAACTGTATAGTTTACTAAGACGCGCTGGGTGTCTTGGGTGCATGAGCGAAGGTGTTGCTGACGCACCGCGGGGCGAGGATGAGCCGGTGGCGACTCGAAGTCTATAGAGACGTCGGCGTTTGGGGAGAAGGATTTGCTGTGTCTTGGGAAGTGGCCCGGAAACACGCACACCAGCTTTTAGCGCAGGCTTGGGACTGAGTAGGGCCTAAGGCCAGGCCAAGGGGAAGTCAGGAGAGCTCGGGAACGTCGCCCGTCGGCTTCCACTTTCGCGCCTTGCTGTCTCAGGCGGGGTCCTAAATTCCGAAGAAATTGAACCGTACGTCTCTCGTTGACTTCGGACACGCACACACACAATAGAACATGCGCCGTCCGTGCACGGCACGTATACAATCCAAGCAACATAATGCCGCACACATCACAGCGCAGATCATGACGATCGGATTCATGTAAACGTAGCCACAGGCTGCGTCTACATCGTAGCGCATCGAATCGAGCAGGCACCAATCGCCCGCAGCCTAGAGTGCCTTCATACACACGCACCCTACCGCAGCCTGCCTTCCTACTTCTTCCTCTTCTACCTATCTACTGTAATATCGAAATAGCCAAATCTCGATTCGATGCGCGACGCGATTTAAACGCAGCCACAGTATAATTATGGAAGGTGCAGTTCCTAGAAATTGATTTGCTAAAAAAACAATCGTTTTCGGGAAATTCGATCGCCGTTCTCCTCCGTATACATGCCAGCAACGCAATACAGCGCGTATTTTGTATCACCCTAGCTCAGACACTGTTCTGTGGTAAAACATAAAGAAACAAAAATTGAGGTGGATTAAATGCTTTATAGCTATAGCAGCCGAGTTAACGAGCAGCCATTTTTCTAGTCATACTTTTTATATTTTTCTTCTTTTTTCCTCTTTTAATTATATTTCTTGTTTGTGGTCCACCAAGGATATGTTCCAGATTTCTCAAGTAGACACTGTGACACCTTTAACTAGCCATTGCCTTTATTATTTTCCTTGAATTACGAACGCACATTTTTGAAACCATATGTACGCAATGCGTAAGCCGAGGAAGATACTGAAATAGAATTTATAATTTTGAATACATTTTTTTACTGAGTTACAAATACCGTCTACGAATTTTATCTTGATGCATATTGAAATTGGTGCCCTAGAAAAAAATATATCAAGGATACAACAGGAAACACTTGTAACGCAATAGAGCCCAGCTTGTAGTAGCTGAACACCACAACATAAACTAAAGATGAGATATACATTTTTATAAATGGTAGATTCAGATGAATGGCACGTGACACTTCTTTATTTATCGCAGCAACCGTAACAAAAGTTACTTTCCTTGTTAATCACGGCACCAATCATCCACAAATCATAGTTTTCCTCTTCTGCAATTCGGCAGTCCATTTATTGACAATTGCTTTCGAATCTTCATCGCATTTCTGTAGAGAAAGAAATTGCAGCACTGGTTTTATAACGATCAAAACACACACACCAGCGTCCAAATACATCTTCGTCTGTTTGTTTTTTAATTGCACTGCGCTTTTTTTTTGTAAAAAATGTGTGATAAAAGATCCGCCCCGAAAAAGGCACTAAAATGTACTTTTTTTTAAATCAGATTTGGGATACTTGGGGGAGATTTCGTTTTAGTACTCGCAACAAAAAATATACTTTTAGCCTCATGAATCTTTTAATAAAGGTGCCGTGCGACTATTTCTGAACTTCAACTAAAAAACGCGCAGCCTCAATCTTCGACGTTCACAACCTACAAAACATGGGCTAGATCATATCTCGTAAAGGGGTATTCACACGAGGGAGAAATCCCGGGGATTTCTCCCCGACACGCGCGTATCACGAGATGAAAACGCGAGGCCTTTGCACATCGCAAAGCCTGACGTTTTCGTCGTGGGATGCGCGTGCCGGGGAGAAATCCCCGGGATTTCTCCCTCGTGTGAATACCCCTTAATGGTCGTCGCAACAAAATTAAAGGAAGAATCAGCGTTCACTCTCTCAAGTTAAAGGGGCGATGCAACAATATTTGCACTTTGCGCAAATACCGCTTAGAACGGATCCCTGACGTTAATGACCTATGAAACACGCGTTCGTTTTTCACCCCACGCAATAGAAGTCCCGGAAAAAAAATTATAGAAAAACGAGCAGCGTTCACCCCCCTCAACTCGCAGCCACAACAAGCGACCACGTGATCTGGAGCCGATTATATGCCGCCGATGTTGATCATAGCCACGCGCCGGGGTTGGCAAAGCACAGGACACGCGCTGAGTTGCAGACATTGTTATGGCTCGGCTATTGTCGTCGTTGCAGCGATTGGACACGGGTCACTACCCGAATGCTTCTCGAGCTAGCAATTGTCACGAGCCCAAATCGAGTGTCCACTCAAGGCTCGAGTACAGTCTATGAACCGCATTCAAATATCGTCATATGGGTGTACTGCGATCCCCACGTTACGTCATAAAATTTTGCCAAGGAGAGATTGAATGAAAATGATCACTTTTGTTTTTGAAATTACACCGCAACGAAGGCGTTTCTTGGGCAGTGGCGTTGCGTGCGAGTATCCTTGAGTCCCACTAGTCCCAGTAAGCTTGTGTAAAGCGAAAAACATTCCAATTGAATATCGTTGCACCGCTCTTTTAAATACAAAATGATCGGCCACATGATTTCGTGCCGGTTATATGCCGCCCAACGTTCATCACAGCCGTGCACTGGGGTTGACAAGCACATCCCACGTGCCAAGAAGCTACAGACGTTGTTAGGGGTCGGCTGTTCCCGTCCCTGCAGCGATTTCACTCGAGTCACCGCCCGAATACTCGTTCACGCATTGATTGTCATGAGACCAAGCCGTGTGCTCACCAGTGTTGGCAAGTACTTTAAGTACATCGTAATTAAAATACCACTTGAAGGAGGTTTGGAATACTTGTTCTTTACTTGAAGTACATTCTCTGACTATGTATTTGTACTTTACTTAAAGTTTTCTTTTTGTACTTTCCGAGGAACGTAGAACTCCTGACTTCGTTGTACATTCCCCAAATTTGGTCTTGTTAAATTTGTATCACTCAATAATGCTGTGCCAACTCTGAAGCCACTTGAATTTATTCAATATTCGCCGCCATTTCCAGAAATTACTGATGCACTCCCGAATATCTCTGGAGCAATGCATACGAGTTAGAAAAACAATTTAGAGGGCAGGGGTGTCAAACTCATCCGAGATGGGGCGGGCCAAATAGCCCACCCCGAAAGGATCAGGGCCAACGGAAGAAGAGGAGAGGGAGGGGGGGGGGGGGGGGGGGGGCAATGTTTTTTTTTTTATTTTGGGAGTAAAAAGAAAGAAACAAACAAACAAACACTAGTGTTTCACGTTGCAAAGCAGCCGACTGTTCAGCGACACCCCATAAATTGTTCAGACAATGGACCTTGTGCTTTCTGCTTCTTGTAAGCTCATCGTTTGCCCTCTTTAGCTTTTATTTGCATATACGACTTCTTTGGGCCCACACCTGGTGTTATAAAAAAAAAAAAGTAAAACACCACCATACCACAGTACTGACAGTTTTCAAAACCAGCCGAAGACACTTAAGACTGCTTACGCGTAGGAATGCCAAAGCATTCCTACAGGCAGCACATTCGTACAAGCAGCGCGCCACGTCTTGCTTTCGCACGTGGCGCTCCGGCGGTGACATGACGCTCCCCCCACCGCGCAGGCGCGGCAAACCCCGCCGGCTTCACGACGGCTTCGGCGACGAAGCATCTGCGTTGCTGTGCTTTTCTTTGTCTTTTATATCTGAGCCACGTCCGTTTTGACCTTGAGTGCCCCCCCCCCTCCCTCCCCCCCCCCCCCCCCCCCGGGCTGCCGTGACGAAGCATCAGCGTTGCTGTGCTTCTATTTGTGTTTTTGTTTTCTGAGGCGCGTGCTCGGTGTCGTATTTTTATGGCCATCTTTCGGGCACAACGCCGACGCCGCTTTCTCGCGTAATGGGACAAGTAAGGCTTTCTCCGTAATATAACGAGAGCAAGCACGCCATTATTGCCCTGTTGCACAATAGAAGAAATATCTCTTTGCTTTCCTGGCGATTTTTGTAGCAGCATTATAAGAAAATACTTTCAAGTTAAAGGTACTGACCGACAGAAGCCCGAGATCATAGCTCTATCTTTGACTTTGGACGTTTCTCCTGCTGAGCAAGAGTTCGTGCAGCCGAGGTGCCTTCTTGAGGAAAGAGCTCGCACTCGTATATCCTGGCAGTGGTATTGCGATTCCGGTTGACTTACACAAGAAAATCTGACAAGCAAATACTTAGACGAAACAATACTTACTATAAAATAAAGACAAACTGAATAGCGCGAAATGCGTGAACAGGACAGAGCTCCCTTTCGAGCAGAATGAATCGACGATATCAAACTAATATTTATGGCTCATGAGGTGCTCGAGGCATTGGGATCGGGGGCTCGCAGCCGGGGGATGCTTGTCGGCCACATTCCAGAGAGTCGCGGGACACGTGTTGACACCCCTGGTATAGGGGAATAAAATGGCATCTTGAAAGATTGTGTTAAAGGGACCATGAAACGATTTTGAAATCGAATTTCATCCACCGCACGTCGTAAAAGATGCGAAAAGAAGATCAAAACACACGCAAAAAAAGAGTCAATAACATTTCTTTGCTATAAAACTTTTTGAAGAAAAGCGGACTCTTTTACACCTCCTATCCTTCGAAAACTCCCTGCCTTTTCACTGATACATCCACGGCGCCACGGCACGTCAGCCAAATCCACATCGCCTATTGGATAAAGGCCTACCTCAACAGCACCGCGATCGTAAACAATAAATAGCCGGCGAATGTTTCTTAAAAGTTTTGTTAAAGAATATTCTGATCCACATTTTGTTGAATAATTACCAATGTGACGGAAGTCGCCGAATTGTATATTGCTAGGAGCTATGCGCCATCTATCGTGTGCTAAACGAAGGAAGATAAAGATAAGACTGCGCCTGCGCCGGTCGCGGTTCCAGCTCTGCTAAAAAGCAGGGCGTCGGTGGTGACCCTCAACGTCGTCGGCGTGGTGGAAGCTCATCGTTTCGCGTAGAGCGCTATCCTTGACTGAATTTTAGTGGTGGGTCACGATGATAACCCAGTACGTCCTAAAAGGGGAGATTGTGGCGGCACCGTCAATAGCAAAAACGCTCGTGCCGTCGTCTTTGTTCACTTCGACTACAGCTGTGCTTTTTTAGAATTTGTCTCCTCGAAAATCACCCGGATTTCTTATTTTGCGCATTCCATGTGTGTGCACAAGTTCAAGGTATTACTGGTGTGTATTGTATTTAAAGGCGTGCATGAAGGATACAAATTTTGGCGCGTTTTCATCACCCGAGAAAATTATTAGTCTTAGTATTCCTGAACTCCCGCAATGTCTGTGTGATCACGAAATCAATTTCCACGTTGCTTTACCGCTGCTAAGATTACATTGTCTTTTGCAATCGTAGCAAAGGCGTATGGCAAGATTTGTATCATCAGTAAAGTCGTGTTTTAAAGTCGTGATCGTCCAAGACGACGTACTGCATCATTTTATTTTATTTTTCATCCACTCTGCATGCCCTGCGTGCCTATCATGACAAAATAAAAGTAAATAAGACTTGAGCCCATAGGAAACTTTGCGCATTTTCTGCTATTCCAGTGAGTGACTGCGCGTCCCCTTCTTTTTAGAAATACCGCGGATCGACTGACGGCGGCAGAGAAGCGGCTCTCGTGCTGACGACCGGCTGCGCTTCGTGCAGGCGTGTGGGATTAGTCCCATGCTGTTGTTGTAGCGTGACATACATCTAATTGAATTTCGCTCAGCTGCGATGTGTTCATGACTATCGCGGTGATGAGAGGCGCCTATCCAGACAATATGTCGGTAGCATCGGCGCCATCAGCGCAGTAAAAGCCTGTAGTAAAATAAAACCTACCGGGACACCGTCAGTTCGCCTCTAACGCTCCCATTCTCCTACTGCCCCGTGCCACCTGTACGTCACGACCGTCAAAATTACGCCGCAGTTTGGTTTGCGGTGAGTTGGAGAGGAAAAAAAACTCGATATTTCAATAATTGTTTGGTGTAGAAGTTAACTAACCGAAACGAAAAGGGGTGCCTGTTCGGCGTTCAGTGAACATTGAAGGTTTAATGTAAAAGTTATTTGGCAAAAGTAAAAAAGTCATTTCATGGTCTCTTTAAGAACTACTGGTACTCTACTTTGAAAGTACGTTGTACTTATAGTACTTTATTTCAAGTACATTGCACCCAGGTGTACTTACTACTTTTACTTCAAGTACATAACCCTCATATACTTTGTACTTTAATTCAAGTGCATTTAAGATTTACCCAACACTGGTGCTCATACAGTATTCGTATTAAATCTATGAACTGCATTTGAATAACGTTATAATGAGATAATCCCGCGACTACGACAACGATTCGATACCCCGTACTACATGATTATGTTTGGCGAAGGAGAAGTTGGAATAAAAGATCCACAGGGTATCACCGAAATCACAAAGCGGCCAAGACGCTTCTTGGTCAGTGGCGCTGCGTGCAAGATATATATACTAAGATTGCACAAGTACCAGTATGTTTGCGGAAAAAAAACATTCCCAGCTTGCCTTGTAGGTGAGCCCCCCCCCCCCCCCCCCCCCCCCCACGTTGGTTCAGTACAAAAACTTGAGAAAGAATCAAATGCTTAACAGAACACAAACAGCCCATCCACAAAAACTACTTTCTGCACCTATCCGTCATAGTTTTTTTTTTTTTTTCCGCTATCGTATTAAGATCTATTAAATATTGCCGCGCGCCAAACACACAGCGCGGCCGTTGCCTAACGGTTATCGTACTTGCCTCCCTCGCGAAGAGCCAGGGGGGCTATGTTGCGCTTTTTGCACTCCCAGGAGACTAGGGAGAAGGAAGTGACGTCAAGAACGCAGCAAATGCAGATTGGATGTTGATTTTGTTTTCTTCTGTCAACATCCAATCCGCATTTGCACTAGTCGTTGACGTCACTTCCTTCTTCCAAGTCTCCTCGGAGTGCAAAAAGCGCAACATAGCACCCCTGGGTTCGATTCCCGGGAGTTACGCGTCCTTTTATTTATTCTTGCAGTTTAATGTTCTTGTGAATTCGAGAACTCTGTTGCTTGTTCGAGGTGCGAATGTCTCTATATTTTGTCTCATCCTACGATGGACTAAAGGCCAAAGCCACGGGCCGCCAGGTCCAATCACGTTCCAAGCTACACTATGACATTCGTAGCATTGATTAGGGGTGGACGAATAATGCTTCGAACCCAAAAACGCTGCATCATTTCTATAGCTTCAACACTGCAAACAGCCTTTTTATTTTTTTTTTTTTGCAATGTAAAGTTGTTGAGTCACTCAGTGCTATTTCGATTCGAACCACTGTCCGCCAATCCCAATCAGTGATCCGAGACGCGGGCCCTGATACGTGCATCAAAGCGCAATACGCAATTTCTAAGTAAATCGTGATTGGATCTTGCGGTCCGTAGCTTTTGCCTTTAGTCCATCGTACGGTGAGACGAAGTATAGGTCGGTTGTTCCAGAAGTTGGAATAAAATAGTGAAAAAATCACTATTACTACTTTACTGTCGCTTATGGCTACCACTGCTAATACTCTTGATTTTAATTATGCTCTTAATTTTTATAAAAATACAATCATTTATAACACTTACATAAGCGGTTAATATATTTTGATATCCTAATAATTATTGCAGCAAAGCAACTGGCAGGACAGGTCGTAAACTTTAAGCAGAAATTCGCCTCATCACAAGACTGAAAGACGGACGGTTTTGAGCGTGGCCATGGCCACCCCATTTATTTCCACCAGTAATCGTCGAGATAGTTGTTTGCCTAAAAGCAACACTAAGAGGCTTTAGGAATTTTGGCTGGATCGTCATGTTTTGGTTCTTACCAGCCTCTTTAGTAGTCAACGTGAGCATGTACAGTTGGGCATAAAATAAGAGGCGTTATCGATTTCATGAAACAATTGTCAACACAATTATGCAATTGTTACATTTTAAATATTTTGTGCTATGTACCGTCAGTACACTGGGTATTGGAAAATATCTGATCATCTGAATATACATAACAAAGATGGCTGACTACGTCTTGCCCAGAGGATCCAATGGAATGACGCATGATCTTGCAAATGAAAAAAAAAATGGTTCTCGTACTAGCTCTGCACAGAATAAATAGAGAGTCAATATGTAATACTTGTGTTATGGCTAAACAAAGACAAATGCTAAACCTGAGGCATGCCCTTAGTAAAGCCAAACTGAACGATAAATAACTTTTTGAAAAAGATATAAAACGGGGCACCTGTCATATAACTGTTAACCGAAAAAACAATGAGCGCGAATGCAGCGAGGACATTTTCTCATGACTTACCAAGCCACCGACGGGACATACTGCCCCTGGAAACCCCAGCTTCTGGTAAGGTTGAAGGCATGTCACCTGGCACGTTTTAGGAATCTTACCACCAGGATGCTGCAATGCATTCACATATGATTTCACAAATACTAATTAAAATAAAACTATGTACATTAAAAGAAAGAAACTAAAAACGTTGAAAGAATGAATTTAACGGCCGGCCCCCAAGCAGAGGCAAGGATCCCGACCCTCACACTCTCCCTCGCCAACCCTGCCACAACACAAAAGGAGGAAATCACCCCTCGTTTTCTCCTCGCCATTTGCCGACTTTTTTTTTTCTTCTTTTCATCGCCCGTTTGATTTTTTCTTTTTTTGTAAGTCTGGAGGGGGTATATGAAGGTTTAAAAGTAAATCCAGACAAAAATAAGTTTCAGTTTCCTTTTCTTTTTTTCGCCGTGCCGTTTATTTTTAAAGCACAAACGATTCGTTTTGTCAGCAGAAAACTCACAAATAAGGACACGATTAGTCACGGTTAAGGCTAATCTGAAGGCGTGTCCAATTTACGAGAAGCCCATCAGGTTTTCTTGGCATCCGTGACTCAGTAGCGCGGCGTCCAGCGGAGAGAGGGATCTCTTCAAGGACAGCAGGTTGCGGGCAAACCGAGATTCCCCAAGAGGAACTGTAAGTCCCGCAGCTTTCTTTACGTTCACTAATCTGCATGCGCACCTGGATTACGGCTTTTAAAAAGAAACTGAAGCGGTTCTTTATTTGAGTAAAATCTCAAATACAAAACACAAAATGGTTTTGGGGTCGCACAAATGCGAGTGAAAGGTTTTTTTTTTTCCTTCTTTGTTTGGCGGCGAAGGTATTTTGCGGGTGGGTGTTAGTCATTAGCTTTAAATCGCCAAAGCGCGTCATTGGGAGGATGTTCGCGTGTCGATGCAGACGATACAAGTTTGTTTTTCTCAGGTGTTTGCTGTGATGACTTAACACATAGGACGAATCAAACTCTGCAGAAGTTTAGTACTTGGAGCCAGGCTAACGCTTTAAAAATCAACGTTAACAGGGATATTTTGTTTCAACCGAAAAATAAAAATGCAGCTATTACATGACATATCGTCTTGAATTCGAGAAAAATAGAAGTCTTGACCAGTTTTAAGACTCTTGGAGTTTTTTCACCCAACATATGACTTGGGATGAACATCTAAACCATATCTTGATAAAGCTGTTACGTGTGATTGGCATAGTGTATCGTAACCGATCTATTTTGCCAGAAAATGCTAAATTGTTAATCTATAACTCGTTAGTTTCTTTCACGTATACATTACTGTCACCTCGGCCGGGGAAATACAACAATGGCAACTTTGGACACTATACTTATGTTACAAAAAGAGATACTGCGAATAATATGTCATGTTTCATATGATTACCCTAGTAAACCTCTGTTCACTATATTAAATTTAATGTATATTTTCAATATCTATAAATATCAGTTATGTCTAAGTTATACGTCGGAAATAAAAAATAATGTCAATCTTAGTGAACAAGCATCCTTATCACTGAAATTGACAACATATCACACTCTTAGCCTAGACAACTTGGAAGTCCCCAGTTGTAGAACAACATATGGGAGAAAATGCTATCCAACATGTTTCCGACCCTACTTAATTACCTTAATACTCATAATATTCATCCTTTAACATCAACAGTAAAATATATCATAGAATGTTTTTCCTTGCAGACTGAATTGCATAGCAATGACTAAATAAATATTGGACTCAATGACCTCATTTATAAGTTACAGTTATATCCGTTATGAATGAATTTAGTGAATTAGTATAGTATTACATAGTCGTGCTACATCTCTTAAATCTTGAACCCTCGAATGTCTTCAATAACTCGAACCCTTGAACGGGCACCCATTTTTTAGTAAACCGCCTGTTTAGCAGAGCTAATTTATCTGCTACATAGGAATGTTCTACACTGAATTACAGACCCGCGCATTTTTTTTTATTTCGTTCGTTTGTTTACAAAGTGATACATTTCTTTTGTGACCTGCCGCTGTTGCTAAGTGGGGAGGGGGCTCAGGACTCAAGCTACACAAATGCAGCTTTTTTCCTCAGTTCCCTTCCATCATGCACTTGTACTTGATGGAGAAATAAACATTATTATTATTATTATTAGTAGTAGTAGTAGTAGTAGAAGTAATAGTAGTTGTTGTTGTAGTAGTAGTAGTAGTAGTAGTAGTAGTAGTAGTAGTAGTAGTAGTAGTAGTAGTAGTAGTAGTAGTAGTAGTAGTTGTACTAGTAGTAGTAGTAGTAGTTGTTGTAGTAGTTGTTGTAGTAGTAGTTGTACTAGTAGTAGTAGTAGTAGTAGAAGTAGTAGTAGTTGTTGTTGTAGTAGTAGTTGTAGTAGTAGTAGTAGTAGTAGTAGTAGTAGTAGTAGTTGTTGTTGTTGTAGTAGTTGTTGTAGTAGTTGTACTAGTAGTAGTAGTAGTTGTTGTAGTAGTTGTTGTAGTAGTTGTACTAGTAGTAGTAGTAGTAGCAGTAGTAGTAGTAGTAGTCCACCTAGTAAAGTGAGACTGGCTAGGAAACACCTGCCAGCGCCGACAGATGGTGGGCGAGGTGCGGGTGCGTGTTTTAGACACACTCGGAAGCTCCTGCCGCCGGCATTGAAGTGGACGCACGCGGGCTGCGTTTCGGTTCCCCGACCTGCCACGCCGTGCACGGCGTGGTAGGTCGAGCAACCACGTGTTGGAACGGCACACCTGTAGATTTAATCTCCAGTCGCCACACTCTAAAAAAAAGTGTAATGCAATACACCCATAGGGGATGTAAGTGCTTGTAACATATTCTACACCTTTTGTGGTAATATTTGTACACCCCAAGGATGGGAATATCTGTACACCCTTTGGAGTGGTGCACATGTACACCTTTTTCTACACAAATCTCACTCAAAGAGAACACAGGTGCACTCCATTCAATTGTGTACGGCTACACCTCTTTTTATACCCAATAAAATGAAAGGGAACACAGATGCACACCATTCAAAGGTGTACTATTGCATTCACCGCTTCATAAACCCGCCTCACTCAAAAGGAACATAGATGCGCCCCGCTCCAAAGTGACGTGTACGGGTGGGACAGGTGGGTTAACATTTTTGTAATGAGCCGCCGCAGATTGTCGCCACGAAGCGGCGTGAGCGGGTGGGTTGGGTCGGTGAGCACGCTGCCTCAGAGATACACGCGTGACGAAATGTCCTAAAGCGTGCATTTCGCGTAACCAGTGACGATGAAGCTTGTCGACGAAACGTGTCTACAAAACGTGTATCAACGAAAATGTGCCCATGAAACGTGTTTTCACAAAACGCCGGGAGAATAAGAGTCAGTATTCTACCTGCAGTTGTCACATGACTGTAGACAGCTAATAGTATGCAACTGCCGATAGAATTTCGGGAAAATTATTTTCCCGGCGGCTAAAAAATAGACACTGCCTAATTCTAGAGGTAATCCGAAACGGAACGGCCAATTGTTGCAAATGACTAGGTTGCAGCGCACTTACGATGAAAATACCTGACTTGAAATATGTAATCCAAGATATACACTGTAAAAAATTTTCACCCCATTTTACGGGCAAAAGTTGCCGGTTCAATATTGCCGGTATGGTTTGCCGTAATCTAGAAACGGGACTGTCTGTAAAACCAAGGCATATAATTCCGTAAAATGACGAAACGTCCGTAGTTCACTTTACACACAGTTATCCGTTTTCCATTTTACGGGTAAAAGTTGCCGGTTCAATATTGCCGGTATGGTTTGCCGTAATCTAGAAACGGGACCGTCCGTAAAAACAGGGCATATAATTTCGTAGAATGACGGAACGTCTGTAGCCCACATTACGGACAGCTATCCGTAGGAAATGTGAAAGCTGTCCGCACTAAATACCGAAGGACTATACCTTTCCGCCTTCTAAGGCCAAAGCCTCGAGCCATCCGTACCACCTGCACCTCCGATACATCAGGCGACTCACCTGGCAGAGCTCTACATCTGCCAGGGGTGTCACCTGACTTATCAGAGGTGCAGGACTGGTGCGGATGACTCGTAGCTTTGGCCTTATATAATTCGGAAAGGTATAGTCCTTTGGTATTTAGTGCGGACAGCTTTCACATTTCCTAGCTGTCCGTAATGTGGGCTACAGAAATTTCGCCATTCTACAAAATTATATGCCTTGTTTTTACGGAGAGTCCAGTTCAAAAAGACGTAAATGTCAAGTGTTTCATTATTTAGTGCAAAAAGCTTCCATATTCAAGCAAGCCTAAGTCACATGAAGCTTTTGGGGTAGATTGGTATGGAGAGTTCATAGCTCCGTCATTGTAGATATGAACTTGACTAATCTTTCATCCTCAGCCAAAAAGTTCATGTTTTGCAAACGAGAAAGAGCACACAACCTGTACTTCTCACTGCCAGGATTTTGTTTGTGTGAGCTCAGCTGTTCCTATAGATGACAGCTCAACAAACGAACCAATTAAGAAGTTTCGCCACAATACCTTTATTGGAAGAAGGCATGCCTTGCTTTAACTTTGGAGAAAATTTACATTATAGTTGTCCTTGTGCTGGCCATGCCCCTCCATGCTTGTGCTTGAAGTTGTCATTCAATTGAAGACCTCCTCGGTATCTTCATGGTGCATGTAAGGGCAGCTTGAAATAAGAGCAGAAGAGAATTTGCATTCAAACACAATCGCAACAAATTGTATATGACATGCATGGTTAAAGTAAGTAAGCAACGTGCTTACCAACTAGCCTAGCTCCTACTAAACATGACATATAAAATAAACCCCCCATAAATTGAACCAAAGTAAAAATTTGCATTGATTTGAATACCGAACATATCAAGTGCTTGAGAAATATAACTAGCCAATTAAAATTGCACAACTATTATGCATATATTAAGCACATTGGATTGAGCCAGATCTCCCTTAGTATATACATTAGGCTCGCGATAATTCAAACTCGGATATTTAATACTTCTGGTTAAGTCAAACGAATTTCAAAACTTTGGTTGACCCGCTATGTTTTCAATGTATTTATAAGCCGCTTAACTCGAACAATGTTTTCGTGTAAT